TACACTTCTCTTCGCCTGCCACAGGCACCAGACCTTTAGATATCATTCGGAAAACTTCTGTTTCACGAAAAAATCTATACTGCAAAAAGAGTGTTTTCATAAGTAATTTACCTGTAAAATCATGAGCACTAAGAAGTAAAAATTCGCAAGTCGCTGAAATTGCTCCAACAAATTGAATGGGACAAATGTGATAACATTATACTTTGAAGTTCTAATATAATTGTCCTAAAAAGTATGAATTACTGATTGATTGAAATGTTCCGGCGTTTTTTCTGCGAGTCTCTGTCTGAAAATAAACCGCGAAAATCAAAAATCAGTGTCCTGAAACCATCGTACCTTCGTTTAAGATCGATTGCATTTTCTGCCTTTCGAAATTGGAGCTGGATGTAAATGTTTTTACGTGGTTTCAAGATTCAGTAATTTCCACAGTACCGATTGTGGGAACTCCCACTGCTGGAGTGGCCAATAACCGCGTTAAAGCTGTCTTAAGTTGTCTCAGATTTCTTTCAAAAAACTAATTAAACATGAAAAAATCGCAAAAATCATGAATGGGGACAAACAGCGTATTTGAACTGTTCATTGAACTCGCGGTCGTTCGCTCGAAGCACGCGCTCCTGATCGTTGCCCGTGAACTGACTGCTTCGTCGCCGATCCTCGTTTCTGCTTGAATTTTTTCGTTCACAACATGAGAACAACTTCAGAGAAGACATCCACCAGCCGTTCAAAAACGACCGCCTTGGCGAAGGCCTTACAGTCGCGTAAGGCCGAAGTTGCGGTAGATATACTGAAAGCATTATCTATTGTGTGCAGTACTGCAACAAGAGCTAGTGCAAAACCTGAGAAGCGAGCGAATATATGATGTCCAAATTTCTTCGCATTTTACGCCAGACGTTGCTGCAATTCTGCGTCTTCTGAGCATTAAGGACGAGGCTTCCCGTTTTCATTCCTCAACAAAGATACGCTAATACACTGTGATTAAAGATTTCTTCACAGCACGAACAGAATCATCCGCTTGAGCTTGAGATTAATACTTTTGCGAGCGCACCAAACTGACGTCACTGGTTTCTTCGTTTGTGCTTTATCAGAAGCGAGAAAGAAGAGAATAGCTTTTAGAGCCAATTCTTCCCGTCTGTTACAAAAATAAAACAAACGTAGCTGTCCGACAGAGATAAGCCGTCGGAACCCACTACAAATTTATACACTGCTGATAATAACCGGAAAAATATCACCACATTTCTAGACGTTTACATTCAAAAATACTTGTTTTATAATCGCGAAAACGACGATTCATGACGCCAACCAGCCACCAAACTGAGGTGCAGCAAACAAAAAAGTATTCCAATAGTGGTAACTTTGAAAACAAAGACTCACAGTTTTTCCGAAGAAAACCGAACGATCTTTTCTCATGCTATCTTCCCACGTTTTTCCCACTTTCGA